GAGAGAGAGAGAGAGAGAGAGAGAGAGAGAGAGAGAGAGAGAGAGAGAGAGAGAGAGAGAGCTTCACGACAGGGCGCTTCACAACCGGGCGCATGGCACGATTCACGACAACAGCAGAAGCACAACAACACCGAATACAACGGACCGAGGGCGCTGCACGACAACGGCCAGTCCAACGGGAAAGTTGGGTTGGCCCAACGTCGTGAACTCCGGTAGTACCCCACGGCACTTGGCGCGTCTATCTGAGCCGTCGGTCCCGACCGACGGCCCGGATCTCTAAGATCTTAAGACCGCATCTATCCAGGCCATCGGTCTGGTAGGACCCGACGGCCCAGATGGCAGATTTGTTACATGGTTCGGTCAATCTGGGCCGTGGGCCGGCAGGACCGACGACGGCCCGGATTTCAGATTTGTCACGTTAGCGGTTTTAATAGTGTAGGGAAGAAGTAGAAAACACACAAGGAAAACAAAATCTAGAAAGGTGTTGCACTCCACAGATTGGTACAAACAAGCGATAGACAGGGGGTCATAGTCGATGTCAACAGTGTCCCGACGGACCTAGAGGACTACAGGAATGCTAAAGACAGGTCTAAAGCGACACCCGAACCGAACTTAGGAAAAGAACAAACAGATATATAAGAGTAGATCAATAGCTGGAAGAGGAAACAGGTGGTAGACATCCACAGATTAGCGTAATTAGCATCTAGAAGAAGAGCAAACAACAGAGAACCGATCAACAGCCCCCGAGGGACCTAGACAGATCAGAAGGAGGGTAGGGAAAATCAATGCAAAGCGCGCTGTGGTAACCTCTTCTTTGCCTAGCATGAGGAAGGGTCGGGCTCGTGAAATAAGAGGAGGAATACAGTGACAAATAGGTTGTGCCAGAGTCCAGAAGCCTAGGGTTTAGGGTTTAGGGTTCAGGTGGGAGGACAATGAAAAGGAGTCCTAGAATGATAAGATCGGCAATACCAGGAACGAGAAGCTCGCTAATGGAGCCAGCTCTTCATACAAATTCGACAGCCAAAAACAGCTGAGAGAGGTACAAGTTAGAACAAACAACAGAGAACCGATCAACGGCCCCGAGGGACCTAGAAAGATCATCAGAAGGGTTCCCATAATTTTTTTTTTGACTTGCCAGTGGAATAGGAACCGGAATCCCGGCCTCCTTTGGGGGTAAATATAATGAAGCGTGCTATTTACTTAAAAAATGAAAAAAAAAAACGGGAACCAGACTGATGCTCCCCAGAATGGAAAAGGAGCCAGAGCCATATGGTTCTGTTCCTTTTCTTTTTTTTTTGGTTGAACTGTTATGAGAAAAAAAAAAGGTCTTATTTATGTTAAACGATTAAACCACCACTACCTCCGAGCCTCTTTTTGCTGAGGCAGATCCCCCCCTGTGCGCCAAGCTTCACCAAAGCGCCAGTCACCGTGTTCGTTTTTTTTTGCCCTCTTGGCTGGCGCTGCCAGCCATAGGGGTCCTGTAGCTCCCAGCCTCCGAATGTTACATTTTTTACTCTCGAAGTTGCCTGGAAAAGGTGGTGATGGCTTTAAACTTTAAAGGGGTGCTTTCTATCAGTGGGAAGCTGCACCCGCTGGGGCAAGTGGGCCCAGCATATCCCAGGAAACACTGGTTGCTACTCACTCTCAACGCTGTGTGTGGAGAAGACAAGCCTGACTTTTTTTTAAATATATATGTGAGGATCAGGGTCCTCGGTAGGCCTAAGGGGCCCTGTTTGCAGCATTGCCCGCCCTAAGTGAATGCGGAGGTGCCCGCCCCAAGGGTAGGCGGGCCTAACATATCGCAAGAGGCCCTCGACTGTCAATTTCATATTTGGGTTCCAGGCAGTTGCGACGCGCCAGTTGGTTGAGAGAAACTCAGGCCGGGCGACAAAGACATTTCCACGGCCCTCCGGGCTCTTCCAAAGAATGCAGGCCCTGGGCGTGATTCGTAGCCTCATACAGAGACAGTTGGGTGCCCAACCGAACGAGGCCCAGCAGCCCAGTCGCTGCTGTACACAGGCAGCCTCCTGGGGCCTTCCGGATCTGGGCCCAGGCCAGTGCAGCCAGGATGCGCGAAGCAGGCCAGCTCTTTCCATAAAGGAAAGAGCTCTCCCCTGGCAGAGGCATTCAGGCACTCGCATTGCTAGCGGCAGCGCTGCTGGAGCAAGAGCTCGCGGCTGCTGGCTGGCGCTGAGAGGCGAGGCGTAGCACGTGTGGTCGTGCAGGGAAGAAGGGCGCTGCTGAGGGCAGCGCCATAGCCCAGCCACCATAGCTGGTGGGCTTGGTCTACAGTGAGGCGCAGGGGTGGTCTTCGGGTGTAAGAGAGGACAGACGTGGGAGTAAAGACAGGGGATAGGTGAAGGATGATGATGATGATGATGTGAGGGCACTTACCTTGTATTGTCGATGGTCTGCATGGGCGACATCTTCAAGTACTTCGGGTTGCTGCTGATGTCAACAGTTGCATTGTCAATTAGTAGGCTGTAGTAGCTCTGTTAGGAGTAGGCTGGGCGCTGAGCGCTAAGTAGGAGAGTGAAGGGACTGGACTCTTGTGTTGATGAGGAGAGAGTATGCTCTCCATGACATTGGTTTTCAGTACTACGAACCTCCATTGGTGTATTATTGGTGCAATGCTGCTCTCTGGACACGGTGTGACTATCTGGCTTTCAATGTGATGGTGTCATCTCACTGTTGCTTATTTTCCTTGCATATATTTTTAAAACTTACAAAAAAAAAAAAAAAAGGATCCTTTTGGCTCAGGCTCTGGACCCATTCTGGGGAGTGTAGTCCGGTTCCTATTCCACGAACTAGAAATTGTTCGGGACCTGGCCTCAAAAGGTTCCGCGCCCTTCCAGTAGGTCATGATGGTCCAGGACCCGCAAGTGGATAGCTGTAGGTCTAGGTTCAGGCCCTGCGAGTGAATTACAGAGTGCAACGATGCTCCCACCTCAAATAGGAAACATCCGGTACGGTCAACTGCACCGGTAAAGGCTGAGAGTGCACCGAATAGAGGTGCCAGAGGGCGAGAGTCAAGGGTACATCGTTTGGGGCACTGAGTAGTCCAGGCATTCACCCTTCGCTGATGCTGTTGCTCTGCCCTGAGGGAGAGTGAGATGGAGCATTGGGGTGATGCAGGAGGAGCTGAGGGTGAGGAAGAAGACATCTATGGTCATGGAGGTAGAGTGGTAGTAGAGGGAGAAGGCCGGCTATGGAGGTAGAGGAAGAAGGCCATCCAGCCAGGCTCTGAGGTGGAGCAGAGGTAGAGGAGGAGGAGGAGGAGGAGGAAGGTGGGCATCAACAATGAGACATTACCTTCAGCTATGGTGGCTCCTTATGAGTATCTTCCTGGTTGGCTCTGCATCAAGAAGGCCCCTGCTGGGGTGCCGGTGGACATGAATTCATGGGTGAGCGGCACCATCTCTAGTTGCCCTAACGAATGGACAGGAGAGCGAGAGGAGGCTAAGGGAGAGCTCTTTCTTCACTGGCAGTAAGCGGGATCATTCGGACATTTACTCTAATTGAAAGTTAATAAGAGCAATCGGTGAGTACATGAGTCCCATGAGGGTGATGATGATAGAGAGAAGAGGAGCAAGATGACTTCGTTCAATCTTCTTCTTCTTCTTCTTCTACTTCTTCTTCTTCTTCTTCTTCTACTTCTTCTTCTCCTCCTCCTTCTCCTCCTTCTTCTTCTTATGATGATGATGATGACGACGACGATATTTTAGGAACTTCTTCTTCTTCTTCTTCTTCTTCTTCTTCTTCTTCTTCTTCTTCTTCTTCTTTCTTCTTCTTCTTCTTCTTCTGCTGCTGCTGCTGCTTCTTCTTCTTTTGCTTCTGCTTCTGCTTCTGCTTCTTCTTCTTCTTCTTCTGCTTCTTCTTCTTCTTCTTCTTCTTCTTCTTCTGCTGCTGCTGCTGCTTCTGGTTNCTGCTGCTGCTGCTGCTTCTGGTTCTGCTTCTGCTTCTGCTTCTTCTGCTGCTTCTGTTTCTGCTTCTGCTTCTGCTTCTGCTTCTTCTTCTTCTCCTTCTTCTTCTTCTTCTTCTTCTTCTTCTTCTTCTTCTTCTTCTTCTTCTTCTTCTTCTTCTCATTTTCTCCTGCTCCAATTCCACTTCTTCAGATTTCTTATTGCATTGCGATGAAATGGCATTGTCTCAAAGTTGAGTCTTGCACAGACTGACCAGGATCAGAGCACATGTGTGAGATGACCGTCTGTCAGCGTCCAGTGTGAAAAGTTGAAAACATGGCCAGACATTAAGAGAAAATGAGCTGATGAACCTGGACAATTCATCTGCACCCAGCCCAAGGAATGCACTTTATACAAACATGCAACTGTTTCCTATACAGCACAGGAGTTCGAATACTTAATGTGGAATCTGATGAACAGAATGAATGTTGAGCCCTCCTCTCTCGCCCCCCCCACCTTGTTTTTTTTTTTTTTCAATAAAACAGGGGCCATGTTAATCTTCTTTGAATCCTTTCAAATTTAACGGGGATGTCATCCAGGACATGGGTACACCCCTTTTAAGGAGAAACACCAATACAAAAAAAGGGTTCAGAAATACGAAAACGTCAACATGTGAACCAGATAGCTGCACAGCCGTTTTTTTTCTCTGTAACTTTTCAAAGTTTTTGTTTTTCCTTTTCCCCTTACCTGTATGAATGACTCGCATGCGTTGGGCTCATGCGCATCTAAGACCACCTCCAGCTCTTGTGCTGATCCAGCCGCCAACCGGCCACAGTTCGGTATACAGCTGAGTTTTCCTCCATTGAGCTCACCCACTGCAGCCTGCAAAATATCTCCACAGACTCCAAAAAACGAAGTACTTCGGGTGGGCCCTCTTATCAAAACTCTCTCTCTCTCTCTCTCTCTCTCTCTCTCTCTCTCTCTCTCTCTCTCTCTCTCTCTCTCT